CTCCTGTAGAAGAATCTCTGCCACTTCCAAGGTAAGGTCAGTGGGTTCATTGCTTCGGAGGTGTTAAAGTTTCATCAATTTCCGGTTGAATTTTGTACATTAATTTTAATAAATTTCACTTATTAAACCTATTTTAAATCCCATAGGAACTTCTCCTCAATTCAACACAAGAGGGCAGTGAAGAAGATGAAGTCCTAGACCTCAATGAAGAACCTCAGGTGCGCTTCTGTTATTTCTTTGCTTTAATGCCAAATCCTAATGCTTCTGGAAAATTTTTACTGCCTCAATCCAGGAATTGAGGAGGCTCAACCCAATTATTAGTTTGTTTCAAATCCATGAAGTTTCTGAGTGACCAAAGAAATAAAAATGCAGAGCTAAGGAGATGATCAAGTTAATGGAAAATTGGTCAGTAGAAGCCCTCTTTACATTTAGAAAACTAATGGATTAGGATGATTTTTGTGAGCCAAAAATAAGAAAAAAAATTGTGGTTTAAAATACCTCAACTTTTTAATGGTTTGACACATTTATGAAATGATCTGTTCATTGTGTATTTGAAATTTTTGATGTTAAATTTGCAACATGGTCAATACAGGGTAATGAACTTTAGAAGAACACATATCAACAATTTTAGAGACTTTTATAATACAGGGTAAATCTCTTTCATCTCCTGCTTTTCTCATTTTTCATTTTTTTATATTCTAAGTAGGTATTAGATGCAAACTATAGTTTTGGCTCTCTTATTATTATTATAGATGCAAACTGCATTTTCTCTATTTGGTTGCAAAAGGTAAATTAACATCATGTAAGTTAATTGCTATTAGAAAGACAAGCTACTTTACTCTAATGACTATATTTGTGATTAGTTGAGATTATAATTACTGTTACATTAAAACTTTTCATCATTCGTGATTAAGTTTCTCTATTATTCATATTCATTTGTATTCTCATAGATCATTGTTGCTACCCCCAGGATGGTTGAAAATCAATGGGAACATGTCAAGACGATACACTCATGCACATGGTAAGACATTCACCTATCTTAAATACATGAGTAAAAAGTGAGAAAAAATAAGTAGAAATACTTTGTTTAAATTTATTTATCTCAATTTGTCCTTTTATGTTGTTAAAATATTTAGTTAGTAATATTAAGTTACTGGCAATATTATCTTCAGATGTTAAAAGTTTAGTGATTAAGGGTTCAATGATTCTTCAATTGTGCTCATACTGATATTTTACATAGAATTATTTGTGGTTTCTTCATTGTTTCTTGCGGCATAGAGGTTCGATTATGCTTGAAACACTTTGAATGGGTTGTCAGTTCAATCTGATTCAAACAATGTTATTTGTATTTACAAAAGGATATTAAAGCCATGTGAATGTGTTGGAACACACTTTGCACGTTAAACTAAAGTCGTGTTTATTTCTGACAGGTTTTGATATTTGCCAAACCGCCGTGGATATGAAGAGTTTCGTTGAATAACTCAAGGCGTGAAGAATGGCTTGGAACAAGACCTAAAAGACTCAAGGACAAGATCAAAAATTGAAGACTTAGTCGAGTCGGTCTTTTGTGATCAAAACCGACGATTTATTCAAGTCTCGGTTCTCAAAAAGTCAAAATTATTTTACAAAATCATAAAATGTTTTTATGCATCAAAATAAACATTTTAGATAAATCTCTTTATCGTTAAATCCCTGGTCCTTGCTCAGAACCAAAACCACCTAAGTCGGCGTTCGGCTTTCGGCATTCGATTTTTGGCGCCCGAACGAACTCCGTGGTTTTCAATATTTTAAACCTTGTTTTTATCTCTGAGCATATTTTAAAGGTTCCCGAATAATTATTTTGTAAAAACCACTTTTGTATCCTGGTCAATCGGTCTAACACGAGAAAAACGGTCAAAACCGTACGCACGTGATTTACGACCTTGAGGACTTGGTTTTTACCAAACAAGTCTTGTTTTCACTTTTTTATACCATATACAATGCTTTTCATACTTGGTTTTTACTTTTGGGAACACTTCGTTTTTGGACCTCGGTTTCTCAAAAC